TTCTAATGCAGACCTAAATCAGCCTGACCTTAATTTTTGTTTGTCAATGATGTGCTGCGTTGTACTGTATTCATAGGCTTTTTTTTTTTTTTTTTATCTTTTACTAAACTAAAAATATATAAGATATTAATTAAAATTAATACAAATATATAAGAATTAACTAAGAAAGATAAATTTATATTTTAAAATAAGATGCTGTATGAAAAAAGTTTATGCGAAGCATGATCAACAAAGCCTCTGTTGCCCAATTTATTTCTGGCAAAGAAGACATGGACATAATTTGAACACAATCTTCCCTCACAAGATGTATATGTTCATTAAAAGTTTGTTAGGAGAAGTCGTGTTGATGTTTTCAACTAGTTTGTGGGGACTCTATACTACCATATATATCAATCCCTTTTAATAAAAATTAGGCCTTTTTAGAGGGTCAATTTTGCCACTCCCTATTAGTTGGTGATTCAAGGTGGAAAGTACCAAATAAAATCTTAATCAACTTGCTATCAACAATTTTGATTTTGAGTTTAAGATTAGAGGCTTAAGCCTCTCTCCTAATGAAATACTACCTTTCTTTGCTGACAAAAGAATGGTGTGAATCTATCCAATTTCTAAACTGATCAATCCCTTGAAATAAAAATTAGGTTTTTTTACAGGTTTTTTTCTTTCATTTTTCAATATTGAGTTGCATAATAGAAAATATAACAATTTTCTCATCTCTTAATCTTATTTTATCTGTATCTCATGTGATTTAAATTCAAAATTTTCACTTCCATTAAAAAAAATATTATATACCACTAAACAACTTGAATTATTGGCATATATCAAAATCCTGTGTTACAGTTCGCCTTGTAGCGGACTGTAACATTAGGACCCTTGATAGGGGTGGGAATGGCTCAATATCAAGGGCCCTCCTCTTTTGAATGGTGATGATGGTTACAATCCGTTATAGGGTGGACTATAACACAGTTTTTTGATATATACATATTTTATCCTTCTTTTTCCTTCCTTTTAATTGGTAAGTAAAAAAGAACGGGACGGATAGCACCATAATGAAAGGAGGGGAAGAGGCGAGGGAAGGGAAGGAGGGACGGGGTACGATCAGATGAGGAGATGATGGGGCAGATGGTGGTGGTGGTGGTGGTTAAGGCCACATGTTCCATCAGCGCACGAGACAAAGCCAAAAGGTCATGCTCTTGCACACTATAAATATGAACAGTTTTTTGTGTCTCGTTGGGTTGCTTTCCTTGTCCCCTGCCTTTGTCTATGGTTCATGGATCTCCACCTAATTTCCAACACTTAGTGGCTACATGTTAGCCTTTGCATCTATTACCTTAATTAAACACCCCACCCAGCTATCTAACTAATATTGAGGAAGGCTTGTAAAGTATACCTAATTTCTTAAATTATTGGTAAAATTGTGCTTCCTCATCTATATGATCAGGTTTGGCCCCTCATTCTCCCTTCTCAGCTATTTTCTCATAAAGTTTCAACTAGTTAGCTTATCTTATGTTAATGCTCTTTTTTTAATAATTAGGATTTTTCTAAAGCAGCTTAGAGCACATTAAAATTAATTCTTTTTTCAATCAGGTCAAACTTAAGTCATCCATATTTGAAATAAATAATTTATGAAAAATTGATTTTTTATTGACCGCTTGGTCAATAAGATAAGCAACAAATCCTCTTACTATTTATATATTGTACCAACTAATCCACTAGTTCGTGGGTTTAATAATACTCCTTTATCCCCCAATGTCTTTATTAGGTGTTTAAACTCCTAGTCTTAAAACCAAATTAAAATTTTATAGTTAGTGGTTATTAAATTCTTTCTCCCAAAAAATAAAAATATCTTGATTAAGTTTTTATAGTAAAATTAGATTATAATTTTTAAAATAGTTTAAAACTAACAGTTATGCTGTACTAAATTAAATTATCTATTACTAGCTAATGCTATATGTTTAGCTTAGCTTTATTACATTTATTCAACTCAATTCATTGGGATTTCAATTTTTTTATTATTAAAGAATCTCATGAATTTTTATAAAAAATAAAAATTGTTAGGCGATAATATAATGTCGTAATTCACCCAAAAGGTTAATTAAGTTCCATTCAAAATGGTGTTCATTTTTTTAGAACAAGTAACAGGCAATATTATTAGTATTTATATGTTGAATTTCTAAAATATTAAAAAAATTATCTGAAAATTATATCATTTCAATAAAACATCATCAAAAATATTAAAACAATATTATTATTGTTTTAAAAAATGTTATTGAAATGATAAAGTTTTGGAGTATTTTTCCTTCTAATTTTTTAGAGATTTGACGAATAAATACTTTTCTCAAAATATAATATATTATAAGATCCAAGGAGTTGTGGATTAATTGATAAATGAATTTACTCCAATAAAAATGTAATTCTTTATAAATTCTCTAGTTTAGAGACATTACTCTAATCGAATTGAGAAGAGATTACTCTCAAATTATACACAAATTATCTAGAACACCATGGCCATTAAAAAAATATATACATATATGAGATTAATATTTATCAACCAGACTTGCAAAATATTAAACAAAAAAATACTTCAAAATTACATCATTTTAACAAAGCATTACAAGAAAAGGCTAAAACATCTTTATCCCTATTTTAAAAATAATTAAGATATATTAATATTTTTTTAATAAGATTTTATTAAAACGACATAAATTTTAGATATTTTTCCACCTAATTTTTTATGATACAAGTTGATACCCACTTTTGTGTGTGTATATATATATATATCATGAGAGCAATCTCAAAAATTCCCTAATCAATTTATTTAGGGGACTTATCTTTTTGTTACCAACTTAAATGTTGAAAGCTCCCTGACCATCCTAAACCTTAATCCCTTAGATATTCCAAAAAATTCTATTCGACGAATTGTTAGTGTTAAAATGTAATATTTCTTTTAGCCATCAAAAGCTTTCCAGCCGTGGACCTACTTTAATTAGTTAAGTAGTTTCATCTTGATGTGTCCATATGTACCTATCCATTCCTTTGTTTGAATCTGGATCTGTTTTCTAATGAAGTAGATAGAAGTTAATGAGAAAATGAGTTGAAAATGATGGTGCAAATGACAGTTCATCAGCTATTTTAAGCAACCGAGGTTCAAAAGTACTAAATCAAGATCCATATGGATAATTACTCCTTCCCTCCTTTTGCCGCTTTTACATTTTACATTTAAATTTAGACTACCATTGAAGAGATTGGCATGAAACTATATTGTTTATCCATAAAGGTAAGAAGAGCAAATGATATTATTATTATTTATTGTTATTGAGGTTAGTGTTTTACATTTCAAACTGTAAAATACAAATTATTGAAAGGAGACAACTAATTTATATATTAAAAGGTTCTCTTATGATTTTTGTTATGATTTAGTGTATTTTAAATTATATAACACTTTTTGTATTGATATCAATGAGAAAATTTTGTAGTTGTAGAAGTGGAGAAATTAGGAGTGGTTAAGCTAGGCAATTTTTTTATACAAATCCTACACGCACTGACAGAGAGACTTTTACAATGCAAATTCTTGACAGAATAATTTCTGGCAGATGATCATCAACATTTTGAGATGAAAATCTATTCATACTAAATTAGTGGGCTCCCAAGAAGGAGTTTTAAACTGAAGAACTTCCTATAATTATCTCTGGAATCTAAAATTTCTACAGCTTCCTCAGATTTGATGCACCTTATTGTCTAATTTTACTGGTTAACAGAAGAGCCCTGGGACACACAAAAATTTATCAATGCATCAAATGCTCCATATTTTACCACTCTTATTTCTAATGGCTCAATTGAATTGTTCCTACATCTTTTGTACGCAGTATCAATTGATTCTTCCACGGTGGAGCAGCATTGCTCCATTATCTCCTGGTTGAGCTGCTAGAGTGGCTCGTTGTTGTTTCCTTAAGTTGTCATGCATGATGTAGAGCTTGAACAATTAGATGTTAAAACTACAATTTTTGAATGGTGAGCTTGAAGAAATATATTCTATATATGCAGCAACCAGAAGGTTTTGTAGCAGAAAACAAAAAAGCATCACGCTTTGCTTGCTTGGGAAATCACTTTTTTGGCCTGAAATCGTCTCCCAGTCAATGAAGTACGAGATTTGATTTTTTTTCTGTTGATTCATGGCAAAGATAGAAGAAAATAAGAAGCTTGATTTTGACGCTTTTACGTATTTGTTGTTTTATGATGATCTCATGTTTAAACTTTTCAAAAATTATGAGAAAAAGAGTTTCTTATTGTATAACACAATCAGGTAGAGAAATATGGTCAAGTAGACACATTCCGAAAGATTAGGATGATCTAGGACAATATGATGCAATCATGGAAAGCTCACTTTATACCTTCAAATCCAAACGACTTGACAGGGAACGCAATTTTCAAGAGTGATAGATTGGGCGTGGTCCTCCAGACAATTTTCTGATAATTTTTTCCAGCTAGCTTGTTGTTTGGCAAAAGGCTTTTGGTGGCCTGCTTGCACATAGAAGATCATTTCATAACCATAAAGAACACAGGAATTTACAACATTTTGAGCGGAAAATCAGCTTCAGCAACAAGGAAGAAAGGGAATTGTTGTGGAGAACGATTGAATTGCTTGAGAAGAGAAAATGCAAAAATTTGCATGTAAAGAATAAAGGACATAGGTTCTGTCTTGCCAAGGGGACCCTAAGCCTGGAATCATCAAAAATTAAGACTGGAAACCAACCATTTTAACCAAAATTTTTATGGGGATCTACAAGAGGATCCTTCCAGTTAAGCCATGATGGGAATTGTAATTGTGGGACTATCTAGTCAAAACAAGTAGTCCTTGTTTGGTTTGCTGCCATCCACCTGGTATGGATCTTATCAGCACATAATTTTTTTATTGTCTTTTTAGCAATCATTAATCAACCGCATAGAAACCACTTGCCTGAAGACCCCCTCAATTTCATAAACTTATCCATTCATTCTGCATTCAGAAAGTGTTATGCAGTAGGCTTGTGTCCGACTACATAATATTAAGGAAAGTGTTAAGCAGCAAGTTTATATCATGTTACACAATATTAAAAGAGCCTTTCCAATCTAAAAGTCATTTTGTAAACTAGACTGCAAACAAAAAGATAACTCATAAAACACTCAAGTGCAAAGGGTTAGGTAAACATCAAAACAAGCTCCTTAAAGTAAAAACTTCCCCAGATCTAATTAAGTATGAGAGATCTAATTTGGATAAGGCTATGAGGGCAGCAATGACGTGTCATGTGTTCAGCTAGCAAGAAGTCCAAGAATAATTAAATAAGGGTTTTTTTATCCTCTGCCCCACATAATAAAGGGCTATTTATTATATTTTACTATTATTAATATATATAATAAAATTAAAAGTTAATGTTTAAAAAAAATTAAAAATTGATATTAATTTTATCAATTACTCAATAAAAAATATTCATATATCATAAAAATTAAAATTAATGTTAATTTTTTTTTATATAAATTAATGTATAATTAATAATAAAAAAATACAATAAATTCATTTTTATTTTATGTCCTAAGGATACTAGACAAATTCATTAATTAAATTAATCCTCATCATTTAATTTGTGCTACCGTAATTAATGCATAGAAAAGTCAATGAAGGAGTAATTTAATGCATAATCAATTGCATTGGAATTTACTATGTGTCGGGATTTGCTAGATTTTGTTTTAAAGGTCGTCTTGTTCAGAGGAAATTAGGAATAAGAACAGAACAAAGGGCCCCGTGGAGGGGACAAACCTCCTTGGATTAGGCAGACGCAACGACTACTGCATTTGTTGACCAAGAAAATTAACAATGAAGATGCGTTTTTTTTTTTATTAATAGGACACATTTGGGAGAGGAGGGATTTGAACCTGCACTTAAGATTTAAGGTATATATATTTTTTAAGATTTATAATTAATTGACTTTTTAAGTAAAGTGCTAATGAAAATGAGTTTGATGTTCAAATTACATGAAATTCAAGTTTATAGTAACTAAATAAGGCAAATTTAGGCAGTTTTTGGATTTACTCCCTTTGTTCCACTATATTAGCCATTTTGGAGAGAAAATTGTTTCTAAATAATTGATGTTTTAGCAAATCAAGATTGTATTAATGTTTTTATTCCAAATTTACCCCGCTGATGTTTTTTTACTAATTCCTCTCCTCTTTTTAACTACCTAATTTTGAAAGGATATAATGGTATTTTAATCTTAAAAATCTCTAAATTTAAGAGTAATTAATTAATTTTTTAATTCTCGTGCTCATCTTTGAAACGTTCAATAAATTGAAACAAAGGGAGTATCATATATCGTTATGGTTGTTTATATATTTATATTATTTTTAAAAATTCAAATATAAAATTTTCAACTTAATATATCAAGCTTTCGTGATATACATTATTAGAGATTTTTTGATGGATTATAAATATTGTAGCTGCAAGATGTATATCTGTGTGTCTATATATATATAACATTGCTTAATGACAAATGAACACATGTTTGTCGTCAGTTTTTTATGGCATTACATGTAGAATACTAATCCCATAGTGTGCCATTAATCCAACGAAGACATTCTTTGTTTTACTTGAAATGACTTCAACGTAACCTTATCAAACCCCAAAAAATAATTATACTGATTTGAGTGTTGCTTTCATGATCTTAGGCTAGCTAGCTGACAAGAGACGCGCATTTGACGAAAATCACCAGATCCAAGACCGTGTATGGTTGAATACCAAAAAATAATGGGTTAAGTTGAGGATTTCTTGAATTGTCAATTGATGAAGCAAAGACCCTCGAATTTTTTTCATTTTGCCATGACCCCTGAATTTAAAATGCAATCAGTATTAAAAGGATAACATGATATTGGGGTGGCCCTTTGCAATTAAAATAAATTAATTGAATTTGAAGGCAGTAATGTGTACCGTAGTAGGGGAGATTAGTTAGAGATAGATGAAATAATGTCTATATATATATATAAATTAAAGAAAGGAGAGTTGGCATTCAATTTTGGTCATGTTGGACTCTCCATATCAGTCAACCATGTTTGGTTTTCTTGATTGTTGACTGATCTAGAGAGAATCTAACGTAACAAAGTTTTCGGACCAAATTGGAGCAAAATTAAAAGTTTAGAGATTTTTGTAATTTAAGCTTATTTTTAATTCCAAATTAGCCCCTCAATTTCTTGTTCTGGTGGTGGAGCAGAAAAGGCGCCCATGGAAATCCCTCTTGAATTTGGAGGATGAAAAATGCACATGGAAACGGTTTTTTTCCCAAGAAACAAACAGAAGGCTGAAGTTGATAAGGCTCTTTCATCAAAGAGAAGTCACCAACTGCTCATTCCATCTTTACAATATTTGTTTTTTTCTGTCATACATAGATTAAAAATGAAACTAATTATTATTGTGTTTAATTTATGTACATTTATTAATTTTAATTATTTTTGAAAATAAGCATGAAAGAAAAGATATTGTTAATGAGCTGAATTATTAAATGTGAATTTAAAATGAGAAAGAGAAAGGTTAATTCACCTTAAAAATTTAAAAAGTAAAAACAAATAAAGAAGTCATAAAACGATGTATATTGTGGGACGGAAGAGTACGACAGAGGACAATAATTGTTCGTACTCTTTTTTTTTCAAATTTATATATTCAATCCCTATAGTTTTTAAAATTAATGCAATTAAGTTCGAATAAGTTAACAATCCCATAAAAGATGTCCCGAAGTTAACAAAAGATAACAAAAAGGAAAGAAAGAAATGACAGATATATATGAACATCTTTTACAAGCAAAAATATTGGCGACTTTCATGTTAGACTACTATTTAAGAGATTGACAAAGAAATTATTTCATTTTTATTGAATAAGATGAAAAGAGCAAACAAAAGATTAACATTAAGGTCAGTTGTTTGGACCATATACAATTGCAAAACATGGACTATCCAACTATAGAGAGAGCTTGCCCTTCATTCAAAAAGGTCCCTTCATTTGATGATCTATGTTGTGCTGTCCAATGTATTTTAAATTGTACAATCCTATTTTTTGCAAAGATATTGAAGATAAAATTTTATAGTTCCACAAGGGGAGAAAGTAGCAGTAGTAGTGTCAAATTTTTGATACAGAACCGACATACAATAATAGGAAAGAGACTTTTACAATTGAAATTCTTGGCAAAATAATTCCTGGCGCAGATGATCCATTAACCTTCTAATTAAAGTCAATATTTATTCATGCAAAATTAATGGGTTGCCAAGAGGGAGTTTTCTGACTGAAAAACCTCCCTACAACTCTGGATTCTAAAATCTCAATAGCTTCCTTAGATTTGATGCACCTCGGCGTCTTGTATTGGTTAATAGAAGAGCCCTGCGACACACAGAAATCCATTAGTGCGTCAAATGCTCCATGTTTTACCACTCTTATCTCTAATGGTCCAATTGAATTGTCCTTCTTCCTACATCTTCTGTACACAGAATCAAGTGATTCTTCCACGGTGGAGCAGCACTGCTCCATCATCTCGCGGTCGAGCTCTGGGAGTGGCTCATTGTTGTTTCCTTTGCTTGTAAGCTCCCAGAATAGTACGTAGTGGCCCGGAATGGAGGAGGTTTCAGCGTAGCTTGTGTACTCCGTTAGGAGCAATCCGAGCGTCTCCAAGATGAGCTTTGCCTGAATCACTGCCTTTAGGAGGTCCTCTTCGTTGGTTTTGTCCGTGTCAATGCTCAAAACCACATTTCTTCTGAGCACAAACCGAAATTGGGGAGCATTGTTGTGGAAACCCGTTACCATTAGAATATCTCCAACTCTATATCGATATAGCCCTGAATAAGAGTAAAACTTTAGTCAAAGTTCCAAACAGAGAAAGCCAATTGAATCTTGATTAGTGACTAAATGACATCATTTTTTCTAAGGTTGAAGGTTTAAATTTTCCACCGTAAAAAGGAGGCAGGTTAGGAAGGTTTTATATTTGAACCTTTCTGCAAAAGGATTGTAAAAATTTTCTTTCGAAGGGCTAAATAACATGCTATTTTAGGCAAAAAAAAGTCTAAAATGACATGAACAAATTTTGCTCTAACTGATTAATTAAGGATATTTTAGGCATTTTAAATTCAAATTGATATTTTATTTTGTCAATTTATGTTAAAAAACAGTTCAAAATATAATAAAGTTTCATATTAGAATTTTTTTCGTTGAAAGACAGTCAAAAAGGTTTTAAACTGAAATTTTTCCAAATTAAAAATCATTGATATATAAATTTAATAATAATAATAAAAAAAAAAAAACTCACCTGTAAAAGTTGTAACAATAAGTTCATAATATTCCCCGAGCTTCACATCCACGAGATCCACAACATTCGTTAGTTCCAATTCAGTCTCGCTTCCAACACAATTTTCGTCCCGAACACCATTACTCCTAACATCTTGAGCCACCTTTTCCCCATTTTTCTTCACCGGGAGGAACTCAAAATAGCCCATATTAGGAATAAGGGTGTAAGAGACATGGCATGGGTTGCTCAGAGGCTTGAAATTGATCCCAAAGTAACATTCCGAGGAGGCATACATTGTTGAAATCAGTGGCAATCCGCCGCTGTAGAATTCCAGTGTAGGGATGTACTGCGCCATGGAACCGGTCACAATAACTTCAATGTACTTCGTCCTTGGCCAAATTCTCTTGATTATCCCTTCCCACGATCTAATTCTGCATTCATTCTCAATTGTATTGGCCAGTTCCAAATTGGCTCCACAAAGAACTGTTGACACTGCATTCTGGCACCCAACATCCGTGATCCAGTTGCTGAGGCAGCCAGTTCTTATGTTTGCGCAGAGCTCCTTCCAGTGATCTTCTAGAAACTTGATGGCGCGTAAGAAAGCGGACGCGAAGACGGTGCCGACTCGGAGAACTTCATGCCGTTGGAGTAGACCGCAGAGGAGCTGACAATACATGCTTTGCTTGCTGTCAGAACACAGGATTGTCTCGTCCGGACTAGTGTAGACATTGAATCGGTTCAATGGCCGGTTCTTGAAGTTGCTGCTTTTGTAGTAGCTTGTGAGCACCGGTCTTGCCATCAGACCAGAGGGAGTTTTGATCTCTGGTTTAACAAACAGAAGGTACATTGCTTTTCCTTGACCAAGCCCATCCACATACCTGTAAATTTCCAATATAATTAATTACAACTGTTCAACATCCTCTACATTTTATATGTTACACTAGTTTTCAAAATAAAAATTCTTAGAAGTATTAACTAAAATTACTTAACGCGATATGGTATTGTAAGCAGCAGAAGCTACGCACTACCGATTCATTAACATATAGTCATACATAAAATATCCTACCATGGCTATTCAAGTAACTTGTTCATCTCACTGAGATTTTAACCCACTGTTATTCCCATTCTTTTTTTTTTCTTTACCGAAAACTGTAGTAATAGTTTTTATTTTGAAAAATATGCAAGACTAAAATTAATAAACTTAAAAATAATGAGGAGAAAATTGAATTAATTTTCTTACTTGTTCATAACAGGTACGAGAAGGTTATAAAAGAATGTCTTTCTGTCCAAGTCTTCAGCTGTTGAGGGCATCATCTTTGGCTGACCTCCTGAAGTGCCAGAGCTGTATCAAAGGTATGAAATACATATTTAAATTTCTTCTATGAAGAATTTCAGGGAAAAATATTTAAAAAAAAAAAAAAGAAAAAGAAAAAGGAAAAATACGTACCTTGTGAGGAGTTCAGTAATGGGCTCGGCTGAGATGATGTTTGATGACTCTCCATTTGCAATTCTTTCAATATAAGGCTTGATTTCTTCATAATTCACAATAGGAACTTTCTCCTTGAAGAGTTGCTTATCGTAAACACCATCAAGGAATCCCCGAAGGTATTCTGTATTTACATTTCTTGTTATTATCTCCTCCAAGACCTGTTGTTGTATCTGGCAAACGTTTGTCGTCAGCTCCTCCAGAATCTTGATCCCGGTTTCATTGTTGTCGGGATCATATTTTGGCAGCAACATACTCGGAAAGTTAGAGAAAGTCTTGAGCTTGGTATTATGGTCGAGGTTAGGACATGTCTTGATCAACAGATGTTCAACCTACATAAAAGCTCTGGAAAAAAATTAAATGAGAAGTTGAGCGAATTTGATTCCAAAAATAGTGGTAGGCTCTTTCAAGAAGGAAGAGAACGTACCAGAGTGCAATTTATGGGGCATGCTCTCATATTTTAAAGGCCTTTTCTTCTCTAAAACGGGATGTGTTACTTGTAGGTGATTGTTGAGGAGAGTTTTTGGGAAGGGGAAATGATTAAATAGGAGATTCTTGGGAGAGGGTTTACTGAGAAAATAAAAATGCAGAAACTTTAGGAAATTGGTGAGAGAAGAATGGACCTACACACGTGATCATGTCTATGGTTAGATGGGATTAATTAGATGATTAATATAGTGCCCTACAACTACGCAAAACTATTAGGCAAAAAGGGCAAAAGAAAAGCCCCTGAACTGAAGTTACGCAAACAAGCCTTGTATGATCATGAAGTTGTTTCATTTTAGCCTTTTTAAAAAATTTCTGTCCATTTTAACAAAAAAGCAACAAGAAATTCACTTACATTCAAAGGTTAAAAACCGTTAAACTAATGGAAACCGTGCTAAATTGCCACAACTTTATTAGTATGGGGGCTTTTTAATTTGCATCAAACTTAACTTAGGGGTTTTTTTGCTACATCTTAAAAGTATAGGGACCATTTTGCCATTTTAGCCAAACTATTACTAGGTCCCTAGTTTCCCCCTGCAAATTTTCGTAGCATTTCACATTCACAATGCAACGGCCTAAATCAATAGGAAGTTATCTTGTTCTCGTATCACTTTGAGGTTTATTAATAAGAATTTGGTGGAATTGGCGTTTATTAATTTAAAATTTTTAATTTAAGATAAAAATTAGATATTTAAATTTTTTTGTTACTAAATAATTAATTAACCAATGAATATAAAAAAAGAAAATCACTTAGAGGTTTTCCCATAAATCATATTGTGGCCAAAACAGTGTGCGTGTGTTTGGTTTATGAAAAGGGTTTTCTCCATTTACCTAAGAAATTAAAATTTAAGAATTTATTATTTTCTTATCTCAATACTAAAATAGGCAGAGTTAGCATTTTAAGTCTTCTTTTATTAGCAAGGAAGTAATTTTTAAGGCGGTGCTATAGGGGCAATTTTTTTATACTACTTTTTTATGCAACTTCCGCATGTCATTAAATGAGTAGATATATTTAATATCACGGATCTCATAAGAATAAAAAAAACTAATAATTTAAATAACACATTAGGTTGTACTAAAATGTGGTACAAAAAAATTATCCTAAAATCAATTCCTTAACTTTTATTATAAAAGTACAGGAAGTATGTCAATCCATTACATCCTTTGTAACAACACATCACAGTTTACAACAATTTATGACAATCTTTAATATTAAATAACGACACAGTTTAAATTTGTACTTTTCTTAACACAGAAGTAATATTTTCTTCCTACTTGTAAAAAAGTTTTCCTTAATTTTTTCAACCGGGATCTCATTTGACATATTTCCTCAAAATTTTTATGATAACACTATAATTACAATGCTATGTAGGATAGTAAGTTTATAATCATGACATATCATTAAATAAATATATGTATTATTAGATAGCATAGCATTAGTAACATGCAAGCACGTTGTTAAAAGCCTACAATATGATGTTGAAAATAGTGTAGTTTTGTGTATTATGTCGGTAAAGCTCTCTTGGTGGTGCATCCCTTGGTAATGCAATCAGCAAGGTGCACGAAAATATGTCAATGAATTTCAATAAATCACTTACGTGCAAAATAATACTAAATAAAAGTCATTGGATTGGTAATTGGACTCTTATAGTATGTGGATATAGCAAGACAACCCACATTGGTGAATATTAAAATTCACTAATGTGTTAGATGAAGCAATGTAAAAGACGAGGAATAAAAGCCTAACTATATATAACAATGCTTACCATGTGAGTGAAAGTTCACGATGTAATAAGTATTGTTGTAATAGTTATAAATAATATTATTTTATTTATTAGAATTCACTAACATAATACATATTGCTCAATCATCAACAAAATAAGTCATATTGCTAACAATTTTTATATGTCAAAAGACCAAATGCCCTCCACTATTCATTGATGTGGGTTACAGTGTTGTGTTAGTGTTCTTGTTCTTGAAAAAATAAAAATAAGAGTCAAATTTGCTTACACTCAAAATACAAAATATCATTTTTTTTTTCTATAAATTACATGAAAAATTAAATAATTAACAATTCTAGTAACATAATTGAAGAATATAAAATTTCAATTGCAGAATCAATGACAATATACAACAATAGTCAATTACTTATATATACCCCACAAATTATGAAAAATTCACTAAATATAACAATAATATGTTTAAAATTTGTTAAATGTAGAAAATTACAACAACTCTAAACATATATATTCATCTTAAAATAGTAGTTAATCATACTTCAATAAATAATTCATCTCAAGTTTTTTTTTTTAATTTACAAAATAATTTAACATTTGTACTTAGTAATTAATAGTAAGGGGAAAAATGGAAAAAATTACTAAAATTACACTAAAAATCTATTTTTAAATTAAATGAAATTATCACTATATTAATTCAAAATCTCATTATATGTAAATTTTCACTAGCAAAAATTGAAAATAAAAGTAGTTCGTAATATATCAAAATTTACAAATTATTCAACAAAATATATATAACTTAAGGAAAGTTAAATGGATACAACTAGCATAAATCCTACAAGACAGAAACAAACAAACAAACAAAATTTAAGATTAGTAGAGTAAAGAAGATTACAAATATGAATTAAAATGGGAAAAAATTCAAAAAAAAGAAGAAGTTAGAATAACTTTAATAAAGTGTCACTTGATGTGCTAATCTCAAAAACTAAGCAAAAAAGATATATATGCGTACTCACACACACACACACATATATATCTTGGGACATAAATAGTAATGCCCAAACTAGAGAAGTTGAAGGAAGAAGAAAAGGAAATAAATGAAGTGGCTTGTTGTTTGTGCACTATATATATTGCTAAACAACATTACAACCCACAATAGTAAATGGGCTAAATTTAAAAGATTTCTAAAAATGCAAATATATTTTATCAATCTCTACATTTACTAGCATGGCATGCAAAGCTATAATTTGAAAAGAACATTTAGTGGTATCTTTAGTTCAATACATTGTATAATACAATTATTAAAAAATTGATATTTTCTAGTTTGAAATTAAAAACATACAACTTAAAGATGTAGTCATGCATACAAGATACAAGAATCGATTGAATTGACTATACTTATATTATATTTCAATGTTGAACCAAAATAAATGTTAGAAAGTGTGTTGAATCAAATATGTGTCAATCATTTTCCTTTTGAAGAATGCCCACCGAAAATTGCTTTAAATATTTTAACTTTTACCAATGTAGCTTGCAATGTTGTTTATTGGAAAAAACCTGCCTAAAATTTTATTCAAATATTTAGCAACATGCTCTACATTGCTAATTTAAAAAGATTGTCAACATTAAAAAGTTAAATATTTTGAAATCACCAACATATAGTCTCTTACTGGGTGTAAATTTTCAAAGTTTATTAATCAATAATGTATATTATATTATTGAAAGGTATATTTCACTCACGTAATATAAGTTACAATATAATAAGTGATTGGAAAAGAATGGTATCAAATATTATGTTGGTGATTATTTTATTCACCAATAATGCAGATTACCTTTTTAGCAAGACAAACCCACATTGGTACATTAAGTTTTAGCAACATGATATTACCTCGCTAATTATAACTTTGGCATTAATTGCCTATGTTTACTATTTGACTATTTGACATTTTAAACCATGTCAAGAAATTTATATATTATTGATGTATCTTAATGCATTGCTTATACTTGCTTTTTGAAGTTCTACCTTCTAATAGCACTACTAGAAATTTAACTTTTTTCAATCAACTATTTCCAATGCAAATTATGTTGAAAATTAAAGTTTGGTATAAAATGTTTAAAATTTACAAATAATTTTGAAGTGAAACTAATTTTCCAATGTAAAGCACTAGAAAATAATTTAGTGCCATAATTTGGTTTGGTGCCTTCTTATTTTCTGGTGCTCAGCATTGGAAAATAATGTTTTTAGTGTTGGTGCTAACAAAGAAAATTTTCAAAAACCAAAAACTTATTTTTCATTTTTTTATTTTTAGCGCAGTATGTTAGATAATGTTAGAACTATCAAAGTTAAATGGTAGAAATGAGGTGCAGCTTATTTTCTAGTGCTAAGCGTTGGAAAATAATCTTACCCAAGTTGTAAAAGTTATTTTTTAGTGCTTAGCATTGGAAAATGTTTAGAATCATCAAAGTTAAATGGTAGAAATGGGAAAAATGCGCTAAGCACTGGAAAATAATCTTGCCCAAGTTTTAAAGGTTATTTTCTAGCACTTGACACTAGAAAATAATCCTGTCCAAATTATATAGGTTATTATCTAGTGCTTAGCATTAGAAAATACTCCTATTCAATTGGTTCAGGTTATTTTTTAGCTATTGGCATTGAAAAACACTCATATCCAATTGGTTTCGATTATTAAGAAATTTGGTAACTAAATATTCAAGTATTTTTTCTTTTAAAAATTCAAAATCCCACCTATATAAGTGCTGGAAAATAATTTTATCTAAAGTTTGAAGTCTAATATTCAAGCACCATTTTTTCCTTGTAAAATTTTCAAAATCCCCACCACATTATTTTCCAGCGCTAAGCCATGAAAAATAATATTTATCTATATAAATCTCCAACCTTCCTTTCCTTAGCATTTTCTACCATCTTCTTTCTTCTCTTTCATTTTTTTCATCCCTTATCCAAATTCACTTTCTTTTTTCTCCTCTCTTCCTTTACTCCACTCATATATTTCACTTTCTCATCTTAATCTTCCCTTTCCTCTTCTCTCCATTTCCTCTTCCTTTTCCTTTTCCATTTCATCTTCATTTCTTTTACTTTCCTTCTTGCTTTTCTCTTATTCTCTCCATTCCTCTTCCTTTTCCGCTTCCTATTCCTTTTAATATGTTATTTGAAATAAGACACACTATTCATTTCAATTTATTGATAGTTTAATTTTCAATTTTTTTATATTTTTCTTTATCAATAAACTCTCATATATATTACTAATCAAATTTTTTTATATATTTCAAGTGTTTTTATGAATTACATGAAATTGAGGTATATTTATGTATTTAATTTCATTTATTTGGCA